TTGATTGGAATATAAATACAATAAACACACTGCAGTTGCCAAGGCTGACTGGAACAGGAAAGAAATAAAAACTCAAATGGAACTTCACCGCCCTAAAATTAAACCTTAAAATGAATATTTAAAAAGAACAATATCAACAACAACAAACTAATCAAAATGACAAAAAGTGCATAATAATGAATAACTAAATACATAAAAATAAAAGTTAATTTAAAATATTAATAAAATGAGTGGATGCCATTATGAACAGAGCACCACTTGCCCAAACAAAGGTAAAAATGCAGGTAATACCATGTTTTTGGACACTATAAGACCTTATAGTACCCATTCCAAATATACACTGAGAAAAAGGTGTAGAATTTACTACTATTACTATACTATTTCCATGTAAACTGTCCAGTAATCTGTTTTATTTACTTTAACTTTGAAAAGTATTTTTACAGTCTATGGTGCATAAATCTCAATGGATTTCAATCTTTTTCCAAAAGGTGAACGGCGACTTTCTTACAAGGCCCTTCAGGGAGCTCTGATGATTAATTTCTATAGGTATGTGAGATTACATTTAATATTCTATTCACTAAATTCAATACTGTTTTTGTGCATTATAGAGTAGGCCATTTTTTCAGTGAAGATCTTCATCCTTTTTTGTTTTCCAGGGAAGAGCCTCGATTCCAGGTGCCCTTCCAGCTCCTGACTGCACTGATGGAGATCGATATGCTCATGACCAAGTGGAGATGTAAGTCTTTGATTCCAAGCACAAATTCAGGAATCTCCACATATACTACAGCCATATCCCACACTAACACCACAAACCTTTCCCTCCAGATAACCATGTCTGTACGGTGCACAGAATGATCGGGAGTAAGGCAGGGACTGGTGGATCGTCAGGCTACCAATACCTGCGCTCCACTGTCAGGTTTGTGTCTCTAATGATCTGAGAAACATGCTTTTTTGTTCCAATCTGAAATACTAAACTACTCTAGGGTTTTGTGTTATTTTGGTCATCATCTTACTCAATGGTGGCATGATTACAGCTCATTAATTCATCTCAAGTTATGATCCATAATGCTCACTTATCTGTGTTTGACGCGGATAAAAGCACATTTTCAATTGTGTTTATTGAAATTCACTCAGTGATAAAAATCTGTGATAAACAGTAACACTTTAACCTCAGAAAAGTGCTAATAAGATGGACCACAAAATAAAGATGCCTTAATTGCTCTCTCATCTTTCAGTGATCGTTGCAAAGTGTTTGGGGATTTGTTCAACCTCGCGACATTCCTGGTACCTCGTGCCTGGGTGCCCAAACTGAACCCAAACATCCATAAGTTTCCCTACATGGCCGAGTGTTACGACAGCTCGTACAATTCATACAGCAGTGAGGATTCAGATTAGAAAGATCCGACTTGTTTTCTGTGCTGATGAAACAAAATGATGTCCAGAAACTCAGGAATAGTGCCAGTACTCTGTATTGATCAGCCAAAGTTTGTGCTTTTTGTTCCATTTACATGATTGATTGATTTGCTGAGACACTGAAGGGCTAGAAACGTCTCTCAAGATGACGTAAAGAAAGTTTAATGATGAAGTGATTGTGTATATACTGGAAATCAAGAAATCTTGTACATACTATTTATATTTTAAACATTTATGTAAAAAATGTCTCTTTTGTAATACTTAAAATATATTTTTGAATGAAGCACATATACATATATATGAAGCATACATATATAAAAATATATGCATGTATTTTGTAAGCTGTGCATGAACAATGATATATAAAATGTCACCCTGGAGCACAAAACCAGTCGTCATAAGTAGCATGAGTATATTTGTAGCAAAAGCCAACAATACATTGTATGAGTCAACGTTATTGATTTTTCTTTTATGCCAAAAATCATTAGGATATTAAGTAAAGATCATGTACCATGAAGATATTTTGTACATTTCCTACCATAAATATATCAAAACTTAATTTTTAATACATATGCATTGCTAAGAACTTAATTTGGACAACTTTAAAGGTGATTTTCTCAATATTTAGATTTTTTTTGCACCCTCAGATTCCTGATTTTCAAATAGTTGTATCTCGGCCAAATACTGTCCTATCCTAACAAACAAACAATACATCAATGGAAAGCTTATTTATTCAGAAAAACATTGTGGGCCAGGGTCACATATAACAATAGCTAGCTTATGTAAAATAATTCTGATAAAATCTTTAAAACGGGAAAAAAAAGGTTTTAAAGTAAACATGAAAATGTGCCATTAAATTATTGGAATATTTGCTTAAAATCTCAGGGGGTACTTCAGGTAATTTATGCCAAAGATTTTCAGCTGACAAAAAAGAGGGCAGAGTGAGATAGATAGATAGATAGATAGATAGATAGATGTACTTGTCCACTAGAGGGCAGAATGTATCCAACAGTAAATGAAGGTTGTTCTGGCAATGGAAGAGTCATGTGACAATAAAGGGAAAAAAATCTTGTTTCATGGTGTACTTTCATCTTCTGTTGTAATCTTTGGTGAAAGAAAGCAGCCTTTGAAATCATGTTAAGTGCCTGACTGACTATAATTAGTAGGCTACAATCTAAATGTTATTTGAAGGATGTAAGTGACAGACGGATCGGCCAGTAAAGAGCATTGCTGGGCTTGAGCCGGGACATACTTTCACTGGGCTGGACACTAACTCAGGAAACCTGTCTCCTTTTAGAGATCCAATTATCACAGTTGATTGTCCCCCTCCTACAAGCATTTCCTGCAGTTATCTCCAATCAAAAGCTGCGCCACTGAGACAGGGAAACAAAAACATACAGATAAAGCCACATGTTCATAAAAACCTTCTCATTGCCAATGTGGATTGAGATTTTTGGTGAACATCGTCCCAGAGTTCGGGAGAGAGAGCAAAGTGACTTCACCAGCTTCCTCCATCTGGTTGGCAGACTGCACTTTAAGATTAATGGAAGTGTCACAGCGCTCACAGCCGTTTGAATGCAGCTCAGGTCTGTGTTTAATTAGCTGCAGCTCTTCAGGCGAGAGGCCTTGCCGACTGCTCTAAATTGATCCTCTGAGAGGTATTTGTAGAGTGATTAGACTCTTGTGGTCAGAATGCTGTTTTCTTCAGTGTTTTACGCTCATTCTCTCTTTCAGTCTCATTACACCCTCGGGAGGTGATTTAATTAAGGGCAGCTTCAGCTAAGCACTGTTCATTTTTCCATGACACACTTGTGAAAGCATCATACCTTACCATGCTGAGTGAACACTCATAGACCGGGCACTATAAAACAGCTAGTATCCAAGATCCCATTCACCATCTTACCATGTTTTAGTTTCTCTTTTTATAAGAATATATAGGCCTACATAAATAACTATGCAGTTTATTCACCACCCCACTAAAAGTAATACAGGACACAGAATAAATAACAGGCCATGATGCAACTGTATAAGTAAATTCATATTGAGTTCAAATTAAGTTTATCATTGAATGTGTACAGTAGTGTCCTAATGGTTAGATGGTTTATTCAAAAATTGTTCTCTGTAATGACTGTAACCTTTGCTTCTCCTCCCCTAACAGGTGTCTTTGTAATAATGTGTTTTCCAGACGTTATTCCAGAATAATGTGCCTGCCTCGATCTGTCACATGATCACATGATTTGGAAAAACTGAAAAAGGTTTCATCATGGTTTTGCTGAAGAGTAAAAACAGGAGATGACGCTAATGTGCAGTCTGGGATCAGTTTGTTTTCTCATTAACATGGCCACATATCACCTGAATTAAACTATCCATGTTCCTACAACATGTGTAGGTGATCTAAAGTCTGTGACAACATCTCTTCACCATCTTAAATTGATAGAGGAAATGGGGCAGAATTATTCTTGTACAATATAAACAACAATTTTATCTACATAATTACGTTGGATTATATTGCTTAACGTAACTCCTCCATCATTCGGTTTCATGCACGTGCTATAAAAGTTTTCATAATTCTAGTAAAATTGGCATCTGTATTCAAATGTGCTTGGAGCAATTCTCAAGAGCTTATGATCTCATCCCATGGAAATCTCACTGGCTTTCCTGTTTGGATCCAGATATAGGAGTAGTAATCCAGTAAGGAAGGCCAGGGCATACATTTGGTGAAAAGTTGGGATTTTTCCCAATGCTCAAACAAAATCTATGACTGATAAATTATTCACAAGAAGGTCAAAACACATGGATTATTGTCTTTTGCAGATCAATGCTTTCCTCTGTCTCTCCCTTGCTATAGACGAAACTCCCAGAATTTCAGAGTACATATCACCAGGGCTATGGAGCTGGAAAAATGAAGTCATATACACACATTTATATTTCAAATAAATGCTATTTAAAACAATTTATAAAAAGTCACTGTTTCCACAAAAATATTAATGCGAGCACAACTGTTTTCAACATTGATATTAAGAACTGTTTCTTGAGCAGCTAATATTAGAATGATTTCTGAAGGATCATGTGACTCCAAAGATGAGTAATGATGCTAAAAATTCAGCTTTGCCATCACAGGAATAATTTACATTTTAAAATATGACAATATTGCTAATTTTACTGCATTAATGAGCAAATAAATGCAGCCTTAGTTTTCCATCAAAAACATTTTTAAAAAATCCTACTGACCCCAAAGTTTTGAATGATACATAACCTGATAGTGTTCAGAGTTTGGGGCGTTTATGTTACCTGCTGTTTAGTGATTGTAATCTAAACCTTTGCGGCTCCCTAGACGACCAGAGGTCAAGCTTAACCCCTCCCTCACCCCCCATTTAACATGTCGAAATAGCATTCATTTTAAAGGCCGTGCACTTTGACCTGTCAGTCTGCCTTTAACTTTGAACTTTCTTCTTGTCTGAATTCTTGTCACATCTGCCTTGCAGCAGTTTTGCTTCAGCAAAAAAATATTTTTTTGTCTTACAGTATGCTTCCCTCTTGCACACAACAGTGAAGAATCCTGATGTCATTCACCTCGATGAAGGCCGAAATGTACCAGCGCAGCTGTCAGATTCTTCGCAGATTTACAGTAAGCCTCCACTATTAAATCCTGATTATTACCAGATGCTTTCCCCCCCTTTTTCCTCTCAGTCTTAGGGTACAAAATTATTTTTTCTTTCATGGAAGAAAAAAGCTAAGAGAATGAGATCAGTGGAAAAAGCTTGCTGAGCTCTGGCCAAACATTGGACTCCTGTAAATAGAATTTTCAAGGAGAAATGAATCCTTTGTTTTGGGGGAAAAACACACCCATTTCCCTTCAGTTGCCACCAGGCAACTATTTTGATCCAAAACATACAGTAAACATCCCATTTCACCTCTCTGAAGCATAATCATGATATCACCACATTTTTTGCACATAGTACCTTATAGTACCATGTAAACATCATTTAGTACCATGGTACCACCACAGTACTTTTTTTTTATTGTAAAGAACCATGACTAGGATTCCCCAAGGACCACCCTGAGCTCCCCTCTGTGACGTTCCAGCTCATGCAGTGTTCATTACAGACCGAGAGAGGAAAAAAATATTCCTATATTGGTGAACCATACTGCTTTTTTCCCTCCTCTATTTTGCGCAACACTGCTAGATGTACAATGAATGTAGTGTCTTCACTTTTCTGACTTTACAGTCATTCTTTCCCAGTTTTAAAACGTAGCTGCTCTTGCTTGGACTCTCTCAAAGCGGTTAGATGTTTTCCCATCCTCTCACATGCGAGTCTGTCGTTGTGTACGCGAATGAATGATGATGTCTTCTTCACTCACAATGTTGTAATTATAATGTTCCAGAGTGTCATCTTGAATTTACTGTAGTGCTAATGGGAGACATTAACCCAGATACAAAGCATCATTCATTAACTCCAGATATTACCCATACTGTTCCACTCCTGTCATCGTTCTGGAAAAATATGTGAACAAATGTATAGCTCATCATTTATCTCAATCGATGACATCATTTGGTGTGTTGATTTACATCAGCTTCATGTTATAGATCTCAAAGCAGAAGCATTAGGCCTGTATAAAACCTATGGTGAACCCATCCCACCCAATATTCAGATTAGTGGTCAAACAATTATGTTTTTTAAAATTGTTTAAGTAATACATGTGTAATATAGCCTTGTTTACTTCATTAATAGCCCTCAAAATGGCAGATGAAATTATAGGCCAGTTATTCTATGTCTTGTTGTCGTTTCTAATTTAAAATTAAAAATGTGTATGTATATTGCTTTGTGCCATCTAAAGTTGAATTACATTTATACATTAATATATTTTGGGATATTATGCATTCAGAATGGGTAACATGGTTGACAGTTAATGCTGATATTCGCATAGATATGTATCTCTATGGATATTCATACAAGTATCCATTTATCAGTTATGTTTACTTTTAAATTTACAAATACACTACCATTCAAAAGTCTGGGCTCCATAATTTGTTTCCCCTCAAGGCATTTATTTGATTAAACATTCGTTAAAAACAGTACTGTGAAATATATTAGGCAATTTAAAATAAAATATGTTTTGACACGTAAATAAAAATATATTTTATAGATATAGACGAATATAGGCTATATTATGAGCCACACAGCTTTTGTGGAAGGAATCAGTGTGGAAGGAAACATTCAGTTATAGAGAAATATGAACCTCATAATCAAGATCTCAGTGAGACAAAATTGAGCAAAGCCTGTTCTCATGTTCTCTTCTAAAATAATGAAGACAGTGTGACTTATTCAAATCCGCACATGGGTGGCGCTGTTTCTCTTTCAAAAACAAACGTTTAGAAGGGAGTGGCGTTATTTTTTGCTGTTCATATGTTCCTCAGTCTTTATTCTTTCTTTCTCTCTGTCGTCTCATCAATTGGTCTACAAGTAGACGAGATGCAGATGTGGAAAGTCCTTTACCCTCCCCCTGTGGAAGAGAAAAGACATGTCAGATGTCTCGCTTATTCGTTATTCTCTCTCTCGCTCTTTCTCTCAAATTCTTCACCTCTCAGCTCTTGACAACTGTGTATCTTTGAGTGCACTTTTATAACCTCTCATACACATATTACATCACAAAGACTACATGCATAACCTCATCAGGATGGCTCATTCTCTCCCACAGTGCAACATCGAACAGAGCATCATTCTGCTTCTGCTTCATGTCGCTTGCACGTTCAAACTCACCAGAATGTTACCCATTTAGTTTTCAAGGTAACCAGACTTTATGCAAAAAAACAAAACATAGTTTCTGAAACAACTATTTGTTTAAGAGACAGTATCATTGAAAATAAATAAATAGATAACAATATTACATAGCAATATAATATAAATATATAACAATATGTATATATAGCCTATAGGCTATAATGTATAATATATATTCTTTTGAAAAAGCAATGAGAAAAAGGTTGTATTTTGGGAATTTACGTTAATACTTATTTAATCTACATGCAAATATGAAGACATTAGTTAAAGTTTCATGATATTTCAAACTACTGGACTATTACAGTACGAAATGTTAAGCATTCATGCCTAGATAATGTTTGTTAAATGTATTAATGGAATTAGAAATGCAATTTTGTATTTTAAAATTGTAATATCTATATATATATCTATATATATATATATATATATATATTGTTATGGGCCATTCTTATGCATAGAATGCAATGCATATTTTTGGTTATTTCCATACTATTCTTTCGTATAATGGTGGCGTCATTATGCAGCAAAGCGTTTTCAAACACCAGAAATAGGGTGCATTTGGTGCGTTAAACATAATCATGTTCATTAAGTACGTATTGATTTTGAATATACCTCATATTTTGAATTGTTTCAGGGCCTATAATTGGTGTGCAGCAGTAGGATGAAGCCCTGAAGAAGTGAAGAGTGAACCGAACTCCTCCTCCTCCTCCCTCCTTCTGTAAGGCGTTTCATTCTGCTGTGCGCTCTGAGCGGACGCGCCACCGTGCCACTGTCCGCCACTTCAACTCACCCGAGCCTGTTTTTATATTTCATCTGCAATCATATCACTCCTTCTGTTCTGTGAGTCCCTCAACCTCAGTTTGCACGGTTAACGTGCAGTAACATCAGGATCAATGGCGCTTAATGGATATATATTGACCGCTCTGTGCGCACTTTGGGGAGGGATCATCGCTCAGGATGTCCAACTAACCTCATTCAGAGGTATTTATAAATATTTTCCGTCCATGTTGCATTGATTTTCTTATTTCTAAAAGATAAATATGTTTTGCATGTTCGGTATTAATGCTGTCGCTGTGCGTAAAAGTCGGTTATAAGTTACATTAGACTGATATTAAATGCAGCTGCAAAATAAACGATGGACACATTCTGCACTATATGGGTTTTTAATGCATTTAACGTTTGCTCTTTTGTTATAATAATCATAGAAATTTTATAAGAAGGTATATAGAGGTGTTTGGAATTAAAGTATATGGAATTGTGTAGTGAGTGGAATCATAGAAAGGTATAGGCTAGTTTAGGATGGTAGTATAGTGAAATATAGTATAGTGCGATAGTTTAATGAGTTACAATATTATAGCAACTCAAAGAATGAATCAAATTATTTTATCCAATGGAAATTACATATCCAGCCATCCATCAGGAGATACCTATGGTGATGTGATGCTGCTTGTTTCAAAGTATATGCAGAAGATTATTATGTTTAATGCACCAACAATGAGCAAAATGATGCTTCAAAGTAAATTAAATCAGGGTAGTGAGTTCATTTTTTAGATGCAACTTATGTTTTTGAAGAACCCTTGTGCTTCTTTGCAAGAAAGGCCTTGGTTAAGACCACTTTTATGGATTCCTCCTATATTATCTGTGCTTAAGTTGGTAAAAATAAGATAAAATCATTATTGCAACTGAGTAAATCTTATCTGATTGTCCCAAAAATAGATTTTGAGGGTAATTCGATTAGGTAAACATTTTGTGACTTTTGGGCAGTTTATTTTATAATTTACATCTTCGTACATCTGTAATGCCTGTATACAGTATCTCAGACACTTTAATACTGTATTCAAATAATCTATAATGTCACATGACTGCAGGGTTTAGGTCAGGTGATGCTAATTTCTCAGATTGATAATGGAGCAACAACTTTATCACCCACCAATAGAGGGAGCTCATTATTTTTCCTAACTAACCATAATTATCATGACTAGGAAGTGATAGATAAAAGTAAGTAAACACTGAAAGTTAATATTTATATAGAATTGTGAACATGAGAATCATTGCTACCAGGCCCGGCTCCACGGGGGGACCAGGGTGGGCCTGGCCCACCCAATCAGAAGCTTGGCCCACCCTGGCTCCATACTACATAACAGCCAATCACAAAATTGTTGTGATATTCTATTGAGCTACACATGTTGCCTGCACTCAGTCAAAGCATCAGTATCTGGGTAATTAGAAATGACACTATAAAAATCAGACTACCCAGGAGGGGGCACCGTGAATTACCTCTCATCTCGACAAATCACGTGAATGCAAGCAGAGTCGGTCTGGGGCATGAGAGCATGTCACAGGAGGCGCGCAAAGTAGTAAAATAATAATTAATTATTGATTTCTAATTTAAATCAGTACATTATAATCAATCAAACTTTATTTATAAAGCACTTTAAAAACACAGAAGTGAAATGTAACGCCCCTTACCATAATCGTGAGCTTCATCTTTCAAAATAAATGTAAAGACAGAGCCCGAAAGGGGAACAGAGTCGCGTGACAGACAGTGATGAAGCTGCTATGTGTTTGCAGTACACAAGCCATGGTTAAGACAGCTGACTCCACTGTGATGTGACCCTCTCTCTCTCTCTCTCTCTCTCGCTTTCTCCCTCACTCACGCACACACACACACACGTGGGGGCGTGTTAGAACGAGCCGTTTTAGGGGGGCATGGCAGAGTCTTAACTTTTATAAAGAATATCTCTTTGGTTTTGAGACTTTAGTCTTTGCAACTTCAGGGATCTTATCTATGCACAATCAGCTTGTAACACTCCAAAGAGAAAGGAAAACTTGAAATCGCATCATATGACCCCTTTAAGATAGCATAGAAAGCTAAAAGAAGTGACCAAATATCAACATCAGGTGTCAAAAGCCAAGGAGAAAAGGTGTTTTAAGAGACTATTTAAATAAAGACAATGAAGAGGCTTGTCTAATGCGCAGAGGCAAATCATTCCACAATTTAGGAGCTTCCACAACAAAAGCACGGTACCCTCTAAGCTTACGATTTGTTTTGGGCACATTCAGGAACAGCTGATCAGCTGACCTGAGAGAACGGGTGGGCATTTAAGGGTGTAGCAGCTCAGAAATGTAGGGTGGGGCAAGACCATTTAGGGATTTAAAAACAAACAGAAGAATTTTAAATTGAATCCTAAAATGCATGGGCAGCCAGTGAAGTGAAGCTAAAACGGGGGAAATGTACTCATATTTACATGTTCCTGTTAAAAGACGCGCTGCAGCATTCTGCACCAGCTGCAAACGAGCAACAGAAGACCCACTTACCCCCACGTACAGTGCATTACAGTAATCCAACCGAGTGGTAACAAAGGCATGGATTACGTCTCAAAGTGTTGCCTCGTAAGATATGAATTTATTTTGGCCAGATGCCTCAATTGGAAAAAACTTGAATTAACTACTGCCCTGATCTGACTGTCAAGCTTGAGATCCGAGTCAATTTTCACCCCCAAGTTAGTGATGGTTGGCTTGATGTACTGAGCCAAGGCTCCCAAATCAACCAGAGGGGTCCCAGTGGTCCCACCAAAAACCATCACTTCTGTCTTGTTTTCATTGAAACTTAAAATATTAAGAGCCACCCATTCCTTTATATCGTCAAGACAATCAAGTAACGGTCTGATAGTGTCATTCTTTCTAAGTGGCACATAAATCTGGCTATCGTCCGCATACACTCTTAAAAATAAAGGTGCTTCACGATGCCATAGAAGAACCTTTTTGTCTAAATGGTTCCATAAAGAACCTTTAACATCTGAAGAACCTTTCTGTTTGACAAAAGGTTCTTTGTGGCGAAATAAGGTTCTTCAGATTACAAAAAGGTAAGAAAGAGATGGTTCTTTAAAGAACCTTTGACTGAATGGTTCTTTGTGGAACCAAAAATGGTTCTTCTATGGCATCGCTTGAAGAACCTTTTGAAGCACCTTTATTTTTAAGAGTGTAACAATGAAATGACAATCCATGCTTCCTGATTATTGAACCAAAGTGGGAGCAAATAAAGAGAGAAAAGGAGAGGGCCTAAAACTGAGCCCTGCGGCACCCCACAAGAGAGAGGAGCCGAGGAGGACACAGAGTCATCACAGCTGACACAGAAAGTCCGGCCTTCTAAATAGGACCTGAACCATTCATTAGGATTTTGTGATCAGATATTTTTTATACTGGTAAACTCCTGTATACTTTTCAGTCCAAGGATCCAGTACACGAATGCGTTCAAACAGTAAGTTTAAAACGCTCTAATACAGAGAAAACCTGACTGATTTCATCAGAGATGAATGGTCATGTCCAGAATTATTCATTTCAGCTTGTATTTGGCTTAAAAGCACGATTGTTTTCTAATGTTTTTTTGCACTATATATAAATTGTAAAAGGTATGGAGGGAGTGGGGGGTGCCATTTGCCTGTCATTGCCTTGGGAGAAACAGTCAGTCAAACATAGGAATATGCACAATTCTGGATAAATTGATCACTTTTTTTTCAGATAGAGATCATGATTCTCCTACGATTCAGAAATCGCTTGTAATTTACTAGAGGTTCTGACAAAATGTTAATTGCTGCAGTCTATTTAGATTTTAAAATTTGAATAATTTATTGCAAAGTTTATCATAATGCAGTATAACAGTGACTGTAAAATATGTATTTTAGGTATGGAAATGAGTTTTGATATTTGGGATATGGTCACTACCTTGTGCTGCTTTTCACTGGCCATTGGGTTAGTTTTGTCACCTGGCAACCCTGTTGTAGAGCAGATGCTTTCAGTTTAGAATTGTAGCATACGTTTTCCAACTGAACTAAATAATTTTTATATTTATAAAAAAATATATATATATTCATAACCTCGGCCCACCTGGAATATCACTTTGCCCACCCTTCATCTCGTATCTGGACCCGGGCCTGATTGCTACTGTGTAAACAACCATTTTCATGCTGACATTTTTCCTGAAATCAAGTCCTGATAGACTGGACCCATTAAAAACATAATTTTGTGATTCTCCTTCTGTTTTCCTGCAGAGTGTCCTGTGGACTTGTTCTTTGTGTTGGACACGTCTGAAAGTGTGGCCCTCAGAGCCAAACCTCCAGAGTTTTACATCAACCAGATCAAGACCTTCACAAAGCTGTTCATTGATCAGCTAATAAACCTGTATGCTATCTTTAAGTTTCATATTCTGATTGATGTATTGTAAATATGTTGACCAAGAAATCTATATCATATCTAGCATATGCTTTAAAAGGTTAACAAAGTATATCTTAGAAAATGCAGATTCATAATATGGAGCTTCCCTTTGGTGACCAGGCCAAACAATATTTTTTACTTTTTTTCTAATTGCTTGATGCTTTATACTGTTAAGAGGTGTTATTTAGCATTTTTACATACTATTATAGTTTTTTATTAATGTTTTTAATTAGCTTTTATTTTTATATTTTCAGTTTGTATTTTAATGTTACTTTTTAGTAGTTGTGTCATGTGTGTTTGTCATTATTACTATTATTATTTTCAATTCTTACTGTTTTAGGTTTATTTTTTCACTTTTAGTTCTGTTTTGCTTTTAATTTATTTTCAGTTAGCAATTTTAATGCTTCAACTTAAGCTTATTCCGTTAGTTACCAAGCCAACATTTTGAATTTTCTTTTTAGTTTTTCATGTTACAGCTATATTTTATTTCAGCTTTATTCAGTAAACAAAATGTTTTTAATAGTTTTAGTTTTATTTTACTTATTGATAATAATTTTGGTCAGTGTTGTTGTATCAGCCAGCAAACAAATGTTTTCTTAGTGCACCTTTAAAAATGAGTCTACGTACATTTTTACTGTATTGCTTTGCTTTGCTTTTTAACACTTGAGATTAGGGAACACGTATACACTATTAACTAAGAATTTTTCCCTCATTAAACTCCTAATTTGCTGCTTATTAATAATTAGTAGGGTAGTTGTTAAGTTTAGGTAAGGGGTCGAGTTAAGAGATCTAGAATATGGTCATGTAGAATAAGGCATTAATGTCTGTATATTTAACAGTCAAGTGTTACCAATCTGATCATATCTGTTGTGTTGTTGCCAGACCACAGCCATGTGATCGCAATGTGACGTGGAATTCTGGAGCTCTGCATTACAGTGACGACACTGAGCTGGTGATGGGACTAGTTGACCTGAACACAAGGCGTTTCGACCTAAAGGCGGCCATAGACAAAATCAAATACATTGGAAAAGGAACATACACCGACTGTGCCATCAAGGAGGGTATCTCTGAGCTGCTCCGGACGTATGTGAAATTCATTATTACTTAAATGGTTAGTTCACCCCAAAATGAAAAATTCTGTCATTAGTTACTCACCCTCATGTCGTTCCAAACCTGTAAAACCTTCGTTCATCTTTTGAGCACAAAGAAAACAAAAATAACATAATTTATTTAACAATTCTTCTCCCCCGAGTTACGTCTTCAGCCATTTTGGAGAGTACCCAAGAACGTAATCGACGTAATCAGCATTGTTTACTTTCAGGGGAGAAAGCGTGCGCATGAACGTAATCTGCGTAATCAGCGTTGTTTACACTTGGGGGAAAGTGTGCGTATCCATTGTGATACTCTCTAAAATGGTGGAAGACGTAACTTGGGGGAGAAGAATTGTGGGAAAAAATGTTCTGTTTGTTTTCTTTGTGCTCAAAAAGTATTCTCGTAGCTTCGCAAAACTGAAGTTGAGCCACTGATGTCACATGGACTTTTTTACCGATGACCTTTCGTTGCTGTCTATGCAGGGTCTGAGAGCTCTCACATTTCATCAAAAATATCTTAATTTGTGTTCCGAAGATGAACGAAGATCTTACAGGTTTAGAACGAGATGAGGGCGAGTAATTAATAACAGAATTTTCATTTTGGGGTGAACTAACCCTTTGAGACGGCATTTCAAAATGTGATTTTTTACAAATAGCCATGTGTGAAAACAGTTACATGCATCTGCAGGGGCTCCCATTATCATGAGAATAAGTACATAGTGGTGGTCACGGATGGTCACCCTGTGACCGGCTACAAGGAGCCATGTGGTGGGATCCAAGAGGCTGCCAATGAGGCACGACAACATGCTATCAAAGTGTTCGCTGTGGCCATCTCACCTGACCAGGAGGTACCGTACAGATGCTACTTCAAGTTTTTCAAGTGCATTGCTTCTCATTTTTTGACGTGTATAAGATTGAAGAATACAATGGGTTTTTAGTTAGATACTGTGCGACTTTTCTTGATTTGCAACACATAGCAAGTAAACAATATAAAAACTCAGACATCCTTGTCCACTGTAAGTGGGCGACCATAATAAGCAGCAGTGTGGAGAAGACATGCCGATGGTGAAAAGTCTGGCCACACAAGAAAACACAAAATGTGATGTTCTTGATGAGAAATGTATTGCAATTGTATTTGGACAAACAATAATTTTCTTTGAACTGTCTTCTTCTCAGGACACCAGACTCTCTGTCATTGCCACAGATGTGAACTACAGACAGAACTTCACCGCTGCAGACAACTCCCGCTCCTCGCAAATGAGCACTATAAGCACCATCATCGACCTGATCGTGAGTGTCGTAACACAAACTCACCACAGCAATGATGTTTGTGTGGTTTTCCTGTGGATTTATGGGTCAGACTGACCAAAACACATACAGAATTGATTTGCATGAAGATAAAGAATTGGGAAGTTTGCTTGAAATTGCATGATTAAATGTTTATTTAAGAAAAGATTATATTGGCGTAAACATGAAGTGTGCTTTGAACTATATACACTACTGTTCAAAGTTTGGGGTCAGTAATTATTATTACTATTTTTTTTTCCTTGAAAGAAATGAATACTTTTATTCTGGATTTATTAAATTGATCAAAAGTGACAGTAAAGACATTTATAATTTTACAAAATTCAAATTGATGCTGTTGTTTTGAATTCAAAGAATAAAAAAAATGCTGGTTTCAAGGCGGCCATAGACAAAATCAAATACATTGGAAAAGGAACATACACCGACTGTGCCATCAAGGAGGGTATCTCTGAGCTGCTCCGGACGTATGTGAAATTCATTATTACTTAAATGGTTAGTTCACCCCAAAATGAAAAATTCTGTCATTAGTTACTCACCCTCATGTCGTTCCAAACCTGTAAAACCTTCGTTCATCTTTTGAGCACAAAGAAAACAAAAATAACATAATTTATTTAACAATTCTTCTCCCCCGAGTTACGTCTTCAGCCATTTTGGAGAGTACCCAAGAACGTAATCGACGTAATCAGCATTGTTTACTTTCAGGGGAGAAAGCGTGCGCATGAACGTAATCTGCGTAATCAGCGTTGTTTACACTTGGGGGAAAGTGTGCGTATCCATTGTGATACTCTCTAAAATGGTGGAAGACGTAACTTGGGGGAGAAGAATTGTGGGAAAAAATGTTCTGTTTGTTTTCTTTGTGCTCAAAAAGTATTCTCGTAGCTTCGCAAAACTGAAGTTGAGCCACTGATGTCACATGGACTTTTTTACCGATGACCTTTCGTTGCTGTCTATGCAGGGTCTGAGAGCTCTCACATTTCATCAAAAATATCTTAATTTGTGTTCCGAAGATGAACGAAGATCTTACAGGTTTAGAACGAGATGAGGGCGAGTAATTAATAACAGAATTTTCATTTTGGGGTGAACTAACCCTTTGAGACGGCATTTCAAAATGTGATTTTTTACAAATAGCCATGTGTGAAAACAGTTACATGCATCTGCAGGGGCTCCCATTATCATGAGAATAAGTACATAGTGGTGGTCACGGATGGTCACCCTGTGACCGGCTACAAGGAGCCATGTGGTGGGATCCAAGAGGCTGCCAATGAGGCACGACAACATGCTATCAAAGTGTTCGCTGTGGCCATCTCACCTGACCAGGAGGTACCGTACAGATGCTACTTCAAGTTTTTCAAGTGCATTGCTTCTCATTTTTTGACGTGTATAAGATTGAAGAATACAATGGGTTTTTAGTTAGATACTGTGCGACTTTTCTTGATTTGCAACACATAGCAAGTAAACAATATAAAAACTCAGACATCCTTGTCCACTGTAAGTGGGCGACCATAATAAGCAGCAGTGTGGAGAAGACATGCCGATGGTGAAAAGTCTGGCCACACAAGAAAACACAAAATGTGATGTTCTTGATGAGAAATGTATTGCAATTGTATTTGGACAAACAATAATTTTCTTTGAACTGTCTTCTTCTCAGGACACCAGACTCTCTGTCATTGCCACAGATGTGAACTACAGACAGAACTTCACCGCTGCAGACAACTCCCGCTCCTCGCAAATGAGCACTATAAGCACCATCATCGACCTGATCGTGAGTGTCGTAACACAAACTCACCACAGCAATGATGTTTGTGTGGTTTTCCTGTGGATTTATGGGTCAGACTGACCAAAACACATACAGAATTGATTTGCATGAAGATAAAGAATTGGGAAGTTTGCTTGAAATTGCATGATTAAATGTTTATTTAAGAAAAGATTATATTGGCGTAAACATGAAGTGTGCTTTGAACTATATACACTACTGTTCAAAGTTTGGGGTCAGTAATTATTATTACTATTTTTTTTTCCTTGAAAGAAATGAATACTTTTATTCTGGATTTATTAAATTGATCAAAAGTGACAGTAAAGACATTTATAATTTTACAAAATTCAAATTGATGCTGTTGTTTTGAATTCAAAGAATAAAAAAAATGCTGGTTTCAAGTGGCACAAGTGTTTTCAATATTCATAATATTGAAATGTTTTTTGAGCAGAAAATGAGCATATTAGAATCATTTCTGAAGGATCATGTAACACTGAAGAATAAATTAATGGCTGCTGAAAATTCAGCTTTGGCATCAAAGGAACAAATTACATATTAAATTATAAAACAATTATTTTAAATTGTAATAATATTTCACATCATTACTGTTTTTACTGTATTTTTGATCAAATAAATGCAAGACTTGGTGAGCATAAGAGACTTCTTTCAAAAATATTAAAAACTGTACCAACCTCAATTTTGTTTACACTTGGGGGAAAGTGTGCGTATCCATTGTGATACTCTCTAAAATGGTGGAAGACGTAACTTGGGGGAGAAGAATTGTGGGAAAAAATGTTCTGTTTGTTTTCTTTGTGCTCAAAAAGTATTCTCGTAGCTTCGCAAAACTGAAGTTGAGCCACTGATGTCACATGGACTTTTTTACCGATGACCTTTCGTTGCTGTCTATGCAGGGTCTGAGAGCTCTCACATTTCATCAAAAATATCTTAATTTGTGTTCCGAAGATGAACGAAGATCTTACAGGTTTAGAACGAGATGAGGGCGAGTAATTAATAACAGAATTTTCATTTTGGGGTGAACTAACCCTTTGAGACGGCATTTCAAAATGTGATTTTTTACAAATAGCCATGTGTGAAAACAGTTACATGCATCTGCAGGGGCTCCCATTATCATGAGAATAAGTACATAGTGGTGGTCACGGATGGTCACCCTGTGACCGGCTACAAGGAGCCATGTGGTGGGATCCAAGAGGCTGCCAATGAGGCACGACAACATGCTATCAAAGTGTTCGCTGTGGCCATCTCACCTGACCAGGAGGTACCGTACAGATGCTACTTCAAGTTTTTCAAGTGCATTGCTTCTCATTTTCTGACGTGTATAAGATTGAAGAATACAATGGGTTTTTAGTTAGATACTGTGCGACTTTTCTTGATTTGCAACACATAGCAAGTAAACAATATAAAAACTCAGACATCCTTGTCCACTGTAAGTGGGCGACCATAATAAGCAGCAGTGTGGAGAAGACATGCCGATGGTGAAAAGTCTGGCCACACAAGAAAACACAAAATGTGATGTTCTTGATGAGAAATGTATTGCAATTGTATTTGGACAAACAATAATTTTCTTTGAACTGTCTTCTTCTCAGGACACCAGACTCTCTGTCATTGCCACAGATGTGAACTACAGACAGAACTTCACCGCTGCAGACAACTCCCGCTCCTCGCAAATGAGCACTATAAGCACCATCATCGACCTGATCGTGAGTGTCGTAACACAAACTCACCACAGCAATGATGTTTGTGTGGTTTTCCTGTGGATTTATGGGTCAGACTGACCAAAACACATACAGAATTGATTTGCATGAAGATAAAGAATTGGGAAGTTTGCTTGAAATTGCATGATTAAATGTTTATTTAAGAAAAGATTATATTGGCGTAAACATGAAGTGTGCTTTGAACTATATACACTACTGTTCAAAGTTTGGGGTCAGTAATTATTATTACTATTTTTTTTTCCTTGAAAGAAATGAATACTTTTATTCTGGATTTATTAAATTGATCAAAAGTGACAGTAAAGACATTTATAATTTTACAAAATTCAAATTGATGCTGTTGTTTTGAATTCAAAGAATAAAAAAAATGCTGGTTTCAAGTGGCACAAGTGTTTTCAATATTCATAATATTGAAATGTTTTTTGAGCAGAAAATGAGCATATTAGAATCATTTCTGAAGGATCATGTAACACTGAAGAATAAATTAATGGCTGCTGAAAATTCAGCTTTGGCATCAAAGGAACAAATTACATATTAAATTATAAAACAATTATTTTAAATTGTAATAATATTTCACATCATTACTGTTTTTACTGTATTTTTGATCAAATAAATGCAAGACTTGGTGAGCATAAGAGACTTCTTTCAAAAATATTAAAAACTGTACCAACCTCAATTTTTTTGAATGGTAGTGTATATTGATAAATTGATTCTAGTTTATAGGCTCAATGCAGCATTTATTTATTAATTCAGATTTCACTAAACACTTCAGGGAATTTCAGCCTTGAACTCATGCCAATTGTGTGTGTGTAGATTTTGTCTAATGTTGTCCTTCCCCCTTTTTTTGCTTTTCATTCTAGACAAACGAAACAAAGGATGTGGTATGTGGCTTTTCCATAGCTTTTGCACATTTTTATGCATCTTATTTTAATTTTGTACATTAGGATATTAATGTTGTCTTCTCAATCTTTCCTTCAGTGCTGCTCCTTTGACTGCAACGTAAGTAACACTGCATTACTTAACCCGTTCAAACAGATCTTGTATGGAGGTTTTCGGTTTCTAACTGTTTCATGCAATATTTTCAAAGGCTCCTGGAGGCCCTCTGGGACTCCCCGGTGATCCAGGACAAAGAGTGAGTATTACATTTTTATTTTTTATTTTTATGTTGCCTCTTCATCCATATGCTTAGAAACCACCTGTTGATTCCTATGACATGTTACATGTGTTAATTCACTCTCAGCATGCACAGAGGACTGTGGCCTAACCTTTCCTTTTCCTGCAGGGAGAGGCTGGAAGACCAGGCATGCCAGGAGAGAAAGGAGATGTTGGTGCTCCGGTAAGCATCTGCTATCTGCTTTTAGATATACTCCTGTTCAGAAGTGCGAGTGGGGGATTGTAGGATTACATCTGACATTTCTGACCTCCTCCATTCTGTTTCTGATCCAGAAAACACTCAAGATCAATTGTAATGCTGAACTTTGATGTTTAAGCAAGCATTAATATTATTACTGCTCATGTTTAGATGTAGGGATTTGAAAATTTCCTAATCTTAGTTAAAAATTTTAAACTGGCAGACGATAAGGTGCCAAATTTTAGTGCTGTCAAACGATTAATCACGATTAATCGCATCCGAAATAAAAGTTTTTATTTACATAATATATGTGTGTGTGTACTGTGTATATTTGTTATGTATGTATAAATAAACACATATTATATACATAATAAATATACACAGAACACACACATACAGTATATTATGTAAACAACAACTTTTATTTTGGATGCGATTAATCGCCATTTTTACAGAATTATACTGCTCATGTTTAGATGTAGGGATTTGAAAATTTCCTAATCTTAGTTATTAAACTTTGGCATAGAACTTTTCGACTTAAAATTTTCAACTGGCAGACGATAAGGTGCCAAATTTTAGTGCTGTCAAACGATTAATCACGATTAATCGCATCCGAAATAAAAGTTTTTATTTACATAATATATGTGTGTGTGTACTGTGTATATTTGTTATGTATGTATAAATAAACACATATTATATACATAATAAATATACACAGAACACACACATACAGTATATTATGTAAACAACAACTTTTATTTTGGATGCGATTAATCGCCATTTTTACAGAATTAATAGAAGTGAGGTGTCAGAACTCGCGTCTAAAAGCCCATTCACACCATGGATAACTATAAAGATCAAAGTTTTAAAAATCATTCTATGATTCTATAGGAATAGGAATGTTCACACCACAACTATAACAATATCAGCACAGAGAAACAATATCATTGGGATCACTTTCTCAATCATTTTTTCCAGCTGATGAATGATATAAACGTTGACAGCCAATCAGAATCCACCTTACTTTCAAAACTGCAGTGCGCACTTGAATAAATGAAGGAATGAATGAGGCATTTATATAGCGCTTTATTGTGTGTTGCTGTACACCCAAAGCACTTTACAATGATATTAGGGGGTCTCTCCTCAACCACCACCGCTTATTATAAACAGAACGATATCATGCGTTGGTGTGGAGTCTGTGGACACTAAAATAGTTATCCTAATAGATATCATTATAGTTATTATTGTTGGTGTGACTGGGCTTTTCGCCGTATACTAAATGTGCGGTCACATTAGCATTAGCAAAGAAGGCTCATTGTCCATTGTCAGTAGTGTAGAGATAGTACTGTATAAGCACAGTTTTCTGTTGGTCAACATCAACTTGAACCTGTTGTGAAATCTGCATAAGGAAATCTTTGACCCTCAAACAAAATTCCTGATTGTGTAGATTTGATAAATACCTTATTTAAATGAATGACTTTTGCCTGCGAAAATGTAACGAAGAACGCACATTAAGAATGAAGTCAAAATATACAGCTGTCAGGTGAAAAGTCAGTTGCATACTTTTAATACTTTTCACATGGCTATGAGATCATTGTGTCGAATAAATGTTCCATGTGTCCCTGGATTTCTTTGTTGATAATCCAGTCAAAGCAAAACCCTCGACTGACCCCGAGGTCTTTCATCTTCTGCAGCTGTTACAGTTTCAACGATCTGTCAAAAAAAAATTTTTCTCTGATTTTGCTGGTGGACTTCCTGTCTGTCACATGCGCAAAATTGTACAATGTTTGTAAGGATGTTTTCAGAGATTTAGCCATTATAAGTGTCATAAAAGAAACAAACACACCCACACACTGCAAAACATCCAGCTATGCTATTAAACCGTGTATGGTGACTGCGCCAGCTATTCTGTTATTTTACAGCAAATGCTGATTGTGTAGATATAACAATAATTACAGCATACAGTTGACTTCATAAAGCCCTGTAGTAATGTTTTTCTTGAAGATATTATCTTGATGACTTAAATTTTCCTTGTTTATCCTCACTCAGGCATTCGGGGTGATCTTAAATGGGTTTAGAGGGCAGCCATATTAACAAATGTCTGCGTTAGGGATTTATATCACGACCACATCCAGCAAAACTCTTTTTGGCATCCTCTCTGATGTTTCTTTACTTCTCCTATTAGGGAAATGTTGGTGATCCCGGTCCTATCGGTTACCAAGGAATGAAGGTCTGTCTTCCGCTCTCTCTCACAAATGTTTACATTCTGTTTAGATTACAGTTGATTTGTGCACTCTTGCTGAAACGATAATCTGTACTCTTTTCCTTTCCTTCCAGGGAGACCAAGGAATAAGAGGCGATAAGGTAAAAGAAACAGAGCTTCCTTGCAGATACGACGGACATTTTTATCAAAAGCACATTCCGAGAGTCTGCAGTCGATTATTTTATCTCATAATTCATTTTGGAACTGCAAAACGTCACAAATACACTTTTGTTTTATCTGCAGGGAGAGAGAGGTCATAAAGGCTTCAAGGTGAGCTTGCTTATTAGCAGTCTCTTTAGTTGTTGAGTCTTACCCATTTTTCCCAGTTTATCGATCTGAATTGAATCTCAACCCTGCTTTTAGGGAGACAAAGGTCAACATGGTCTTGATGGTGTTGATGGACGTAAGGTAAGTGCTTATGTCCTCTTCCTATATGACACAAAAACAGCCCTTTAAAGGGATAGTGCACCTAAAAATGAAGATTCTGTAATTATTTACCAAACCTGTATAATTTTTCTTCTTCCATGGAACAAAAAAGAGAAATGTTGCATAATATTCGCTGATATTTTCCATATATTTAGAGCGAATGGAGTCAGGGAACTCCAAAGTCTAAAATCTTCCTTTAGTTTTCCAATCTTATGTGTGTTCATGTACATTTAGTCACCAGATGTGATGTTAGTAGATAATGATTTACATTTTGGTCTGTCCTTCATACAAAGCTTTGAAGATTTGGAATATAGTGCACAAATTGTATGGTACGTCTTTGATTTTTAATTTATTTTTTTATCAGTGCCGCATCCCCTTCACTTTCATTGAGCAGAAAAGAGCAGTGTGAATCTCCTTTTGTGTTCCATGAAAGCATAAAAGTTGAACAGGTTTCAAATTACATGAGGGTGAATAAATGAATTTAATACTGAAGAATAATACGCTGCTATTAGATTTGACGTCATTTCTCTCTCATCTTCCTGTGCTGCTTTCTCTGGCATCCTGTGTCAGATTTCAGGTTAACAGTATGTGAACAATAGATACCAAAAAACATTGCATGGTTATCTCTCTTGTCTATCTGACACTTGTTCCAATTCTGCTTTGTGTTTTTTCTTAAGTGTGACTGTGCTTTTGGAAAACAGCCTAGTCTTGTGTCTCTGACCCTTGACTTGACTTTGTCTTCATCCTCGGGTCATTTTGCTCCTCAATTAGTTCTCAGCATGTACTGTAACTCTTTCCAAGGCATTTTCCACTCAACAAATCACTGTCCCTTGCCTTCCCTCCCCCATCTGCACATGATGCATCTGAGCTCACAGTAAAACTTGACCATAGTGTGATTTACAACATGTATCTCTTGCTGTTGTTGTTTTCAGTCTCCACTGCATGCAGTCTTGTTTTGGAATGCTTTCTTTAGTACGTTATTTCTTCACTCTTTCTTTGCATGATGTCACCCTCAAGCTAATTAAATGCAGTTCAGGGTGTTTGACTCCCACCATGAAGAAAAGTGTTTATGTTTTGTGTGTTTGTATTATATTTATTTCATAGGGTGAGGCGGGATTCAGTGGCCTTCCAGGCTGCAAAGGGTCACCGGGGCCAGATGTAAGTATAACTGTTAAAAAATATGTAATTTATTAGGGGGAAAAAGTGTGCATCATCTGCACTTTTATATTATATTATATTATATTATATTATATTATATTATAT